GGTTTGAGCCAACCGTCGCAGATTTTTTAGGCATGTTATATAAAATAATTGCGATAGTTACCAAAGAACTGTCCTCTTTCCACACTCGCGAAAGTTAAGGCGAACTGTCGCAATTACTTTAGTCAATCATAATCACTATTTTTTTTATTCCTTTGATTTTCCACTTTTTTTTTCTTTTTTTTCCAACCTTTTCAATTTTATTAATTAATTTAATAAATAATTATTATAATTATCATGACAATGTAGTTTAATATTTTTGTCTAAAATAATAGTAAAATATATTCTGTTTTATTATTTAAATAGTTAATTTTGGTATATATATATATATATATATATATATATATATATATATATATATATATATATATATATATATATATATATATATATATATATATATATATATATATATATATATATATATATATATATATATATATATATATATTTCCTTAGACAAAATTTAAAAGACCGCATGTAAAAAGTTAAAAGAACCGCGTAAAAATTGGAATAGGGAAATCACTTTCTTCTTTTCAGAATCATGTCTTTTCTACATCTTCCTTTCATATCTGGAAAACTTGAAACAACCACCACCACACCACTGCAAAAACCCTAACGCCACCAGCGACACCGCATTGGTATCTATCCCACACCACAAGTCCCAAACGAATCTTGCCAGGTTAGTATTCTTAAACTCTAAATCAATTTCTCTATGTTTTTCAATTGTGATAGGTTTCAGTTTCTCAATTTTTTATTGGGATGCCCGTTGGTCCTTCGTAGCGGAGGTTTGCCGCACCGGGAGAGAATACCGAGATAGCGCCTGGAGCGGCTGCTATTAATAACTTTGATTATATTTAGAGACAAAGGGTACTATATAATTAGGGATGGAGGTTTTTTTTTCTTAAAGGGTATTAAAGCAGTGATTACACAAGCAACAAAACACGATGCTGCTGTTTCTGCGCTTGTTGTTGGTGCAGTTATTTATGGTGTTACCAGCCTGGAAAGACTGGTTACCATTCTTAGGTTAAAGGAGGGGCTAGACGTGATACAATTTATAAGAACCTCAAGATCCAATTCAAATGGAAATGCCCGTTTTGTTGGGGCTTTTAAGGCAGATAATTCAATTGAAGTTCATGTTCACTGGTTTAGATTGCTTGTTGGGAACTGCAGAGCCCTCTGTGAAGGATTAGTGGTGGAACTCTTGGGTGAACCTTCTATTTCATCTCTTTCAAGGATGCAACATATGCTTCCTCTAAGTTTGATTTTTCCACCCGCGTATTCAATATTTACATTTGTTAGATGGCAACCGTTCATTCTAAATGCTAATGTCACAGTTCATGAAGACACAAATCAACTTTATCAGTCTTTAACAGTAGCCATAGCTGAGGTTATAAAACAGTAGCCCTGCTAGAGTTGAATAGCTCTGATATGCATTTAAAGTCCATGGCTTTTGTTCCTCTTTGTTCCAGGCTTTTTCTGAATGCCATGATTGATTGTAAGATGCCACCATCTATTTTGACAAAGGACGATGTGAACCATGTTTCCGGACCCAGTGAATCTAAGATTAAGTTTGCAAATGGTGATTCTAAGCTTCAGGATAAGCTCGTCCATATTTTGGATACTTTGCAGACTGCTAAATTTCATTGGCAGTGGGTTGCCCTGAGGCTAATTTTAAATGAACAAGCTCTCATCGAAAAATTGGAGGCACATGATATGTCTTTATCTGATGCCATACAGTTGTCCTCACCTAATCTAGAGAAGGTTGTTGTTGTTTCCAAGAACGAGAACAATTTCATTCAAATACTTCTCACTAGGTTACTGGTTAGACCTGATGCTGCACCTCTTTTTCGGAGTTGGTTCATCTCTTTGGTAGGTCACTACAGGTTTGTTGTACATACTTTTGCAAAATTGTGCCTTTGAAAAATCATATAAATCCTCTAAAATTGTTTTTATTCACTGTTATTTGCTTGCATATAAAGGCCAATAGATATCCCTGATGAGAAGGGGTGTTCTCTCTACGGAAATAAGGAAGACCCCACATTGTATGTTGGTAGCTCATTGTCTTTACTTATAACTGTTATCGACACAGAAAAGGTTAGGTGGTTAAATTTTGTTGTATATTTGTTTTATACGGTTGAAAATTTTTAAGATTTCTAACTTCTAAGCAATACGTAACAGCTTGTAGCTTTTGGAAGTGGTGAATGGGAGAATCGACTTAATAAGATACAACAGAAATCTCCTGTTTGTTTTGACACGCCGATCCCAAACTGTTATAAACTACAGCTAGTTGGGGTGGAAAGTATTTTATTAGTTCCATTTTATATCTGTCTTGTCAATTAATTATACTTTCAATGATGAGGTGACATACATATTTGGTTGCAATACTTCTGCGATTAAAGAAAGGGAAAAAATAGAAATTAGAATGTAATATGCCAAGAAAATTTTCATTAATATTCATATTTAAGAGGAGTGAAAGTCTCTTTAACAGTCATTTCCTTATTAGTTGAAATTTATATTAGTCTCACCATTTTATATGAAACATATTTTTAAAGTTTGGATCCACATTTACTTCATCCAATAAAAAGATGAATATTGAGCACAGAATGTTTCTTGTACTCTTATAGTCAAACAATAAAATAACTTGCATTTAATTATTTAACAAATAGGTTGAGAATTTCATCCATGTATACTCAACCCAAGGAAAAAAAATTATGAGAAACTGAAGAACTAAAATTTGAAGGACATTTACAAAATCTTCATAGACATAGTCAATTTAATTTTATTCTACTTGCAATAGCCATCTTTTCTCTATAACTTTGTATTCATGTAGTATTGTAAGTTGTAGTTTGCCTTTGTAAATTATTTTTTGGGCGTCGTGCACTGCAACATGGTGCCTTGGTGATTTTGTCTGTTATTGTCTGTTAGGTGGACTCAATCAGTAAAAGTTGTGACAAAAGGGTGACAGACAAGCCTTCTCTTTGTGCCGAGAAGTATGAACTTCTAACTGATGACCAAAGTCCAAAGCTAGATGTAAGGTATGATTGCTAAAGATGTTTGTTGATGAATATGTAATATACTAAAACACGTCTTTCCTTCACAAAGTTTTTATTATTTTTTCCTTTTGTTTATTTCTCGGACATACCTGTTTTAATTGTTGGAATATTGTGTGTAATTTTAACTTGTATTTCTACTTCTCATCAAGAATGTTTACTTTGGTATGTCATTTTTCAACAAATGATTTGTTATGCAGGGTTGGTTCTAACTTTCCAACCTTAGAGATTGCATGTTATGACATCCATGGTAATCGAGCACCATTTCAAACAACTCTAGATGTGGCTATCCAATTTCAGGCAGCTGAGAACTTGTACTTCGAAGTACATGGAATGAAGATTGGACTCTCAACTGATAAAATGACTTTAAAAATCATGGTATGCATGTTGTGTACTTTTGGGTCTTGTTGATTGAAATAAATTAACTATTGCATTCTTTTGGAATAATTGATACAGGATGCAATGGTTACATGTAATGAATTGAACAAGATAAGGCCCAGCTATACAGCTACTTTGATTATTACTTCAAAAAAATTTCCGTTGTCACTAACCTTTCCGTGTCGAGGTGCTTTTGATTGATATTTGTCTTTTTGTTCATCAGGAACTAAATTAGTTTTCAGTGTTGTTTATTCTTATGCTTGTTATTTGTTTTATACTCAGTTTTTCCTAGTTATCTCAAACATGTTACACTGAAGCCTGCTGAGATAAGAGACAACCAACTACTTCTAGGTTTGATTTTCAAGGAATTAATGTTGGAGGTATCTCAAAGTTGCATATGTTGGTTGATGTACATTTTGTCTTTATATGATTCATTTGTTTTAGTTCATTCTTTTAATGCTTGATGCAACATTATATGGGAGGGCTCTGTTTGGTAATTAAGTACAATAATAAAAATGTCCGAAAAAGCTTAAAATGATAGATCAATGCTACAGCTTCTAAGTTCTGCAAATGTTTCAATATACAAAGTGATTAGACAATGGAAAGTCAAATGTTTCAACGTTTATATGCTGGGTTGGATCTGTGAAAACTTTGCAAAATCCAATCAAATGGGTAGATGGTGATTTGATGAAAAACTAAACAAAACTATTGAATGATATATGGATTAAATGGTGTTATTGAACACTCGTGCCTTTATAACAATAATGGTGTTGATCAATATATATAAGAATGGTATATGTTAAGGAACATTTTTCCTTTTAAATCGACCAATGATTAAATGGTATATATTTTTTGTGGGTTTATTTTTGCCCTTTTTGGATTTCTAGTATTCAAGGGTTACCAATTACCCAAATATTCACTTGAATGGCCAATTAATGTTTTTTTGGATGATCTTAATGAAATTGTTCATATATTTATTTAACTTGTTGAATGGCCAACTAATACTATGTAAAATTACAAATACACTAAAAGCCACATATTTGTGTTTCTAACATTATATCAGATTAAGTTTCTAGGTGACATATTTGTTTGTATTTCTTTCATCCAGATGTTACCATGTGTCTGAAGGCACGGAAGTTGATATTGTTGTGGCTGGATTTGAAATGCTAAATCATTGCAGTACTTCATACAAGGTAATGCTTTTTTTTACAAACTCTATTCTAGTATACTGTAATGAATGTTTTGCATGGTTAAAGCCCCTTTTCTTCATATAGAACTTTTACTAGTCTTATAAGCTCTGGCACTGTTTGGAAGTGGTTATAATATAAGTTATTATGTATAGGCTATTTCTATAAAGAAACATAAAACAAAGTCAAGCTGAACATATATAAATCTATAAACTATTATCATATGCTATATACCATAGAGCTTTGGGAAATAAGCTGAAAAGAGCTTGTAGACATGTCATAAGTTGTTTCATTAAGTTCTCCCAAACAATCTCACAAGCTTTATGTTAATAGATAAGTTCAAATAAGCCAATTGTAACAAACTCTGATTCATGTCATATCTATCATGAGATATAGTAACATAACCTATATCATGAGGATCACAACCAGTACATCCAACCAAGAGTACAAGATTACTAGGCTGAGTGAATTGCCATGCAATTTACAGAAGTAGTTTTTTCTATCTCATTATTATATATTGATTTCCTTCATCATTAACTTTCTTAATGTCTGAGTATTATGTTACATGATGTTTGGTGGTTGTCTTGTTAATGAAGATTCATGTATTGTAGGTTTACTCTGAAGAAGAAAGGGTGTGAGTCTGGACAAGATGATCCAGAGGAGATCACTGTTTATGATTATTTCGTAAATCGACAAAATATTGCTCTTGCCTTCTCGGCTGCTCTTCCATGTATTAATGTCAGGAAGCCCAATCGATCCGTTTATATACCAATTGAGGTAGATTAACCTCTTTATATTAGTTTAGTACTAACCTTTTAATCAAAGCACTCAGCTGTCACTTTACTGTATATTATTTTTCCTATTTACAGGCACTGAAGAACATGAACTACAACTCTGAACCCATGATACAGAAATGTGGTATTTCAACAAGAATGTAGAAAACAACTTTGTAAGTTTGCTTAAGCATTTGGAAATCATACCAGCCAGTAGTTTTAATATCACTTTGTTACAACATGAGCAGTGTAAGAGAGAGGGATAAGGTATGGTCTTAATGTTGGATGTGTTCTTAGCTTTAAAACTTCTTTAGGAGTAACTGTAAGTTTGAAATATTTCTGTCATTGGTTGTGGAGTTAATGCAATGCAGGTGCATTTTTATTATGTGATATGTCTGGAAGTGGTATTATGACTATATGGTCAGCACAGGCTGGTGCAAAGAAGGTGTATGCAGTGGAACTATTAAGATGTTCGAACTTGCTCGGGCACTTGTCAAAGCGAATAGTCTTGAAAATGTAGTTGAAGTCATTGAGGAGTTATCCCAGCTTTCTTGCAGAAGATTTCATTAATTCTTTTAAGTTATATGTTGCATATAAGACTAATTTATGCTTTCTTTAATTTCTGTAGACATCATTGTGGAGAAATCTTCATCCATATCAAGTTATAGGAACTATTGGTATAGTAAAGAAAATTGACTGATTGACTGCCACAGTGGCGGACATAGATAAAGTCAGATCAAAATTTTCTTTATCAATAACCATGGACAATACAAAGTTGTGTGGACCAAAGGTGGTTTGATGTGCATTTCTGGGTAAGATACTCTAACCTGTAATGACATTATATATATGCAATCCAATATCATAAATCTTATTGTTTCATGTCTGCATCATATTAACTAAAGACATTGTTGTTTATTGTATACATGGAGACATGGTGTTAGTTAAAGAGTTATTATACCTTGTGATTGTGAATGAGAAAATTACCTAACTAATATGTTTATTTTTTTTACAAGGAGAAAATTACTTTGAGATTGATATAGATATGCATAGATTCAGCTATATCTCTAGGAAAGGATTTGAAGCATTCATGGATAGATTAAAGAAATGCACTCTAGATGTTGGCCTTATAATTCAGGCATGTAGTTTTCTCATGCTTGTGTGTGTATGTGTGTTTTTGACATTTATGAATATTTAACATGTGTGTATCTTCATTCAAGGTTCAACAAAATCTATGCTTGCGTGTGTGCGTGTGCTTTGTGGTCCAAAGTCAAGGAACTATTGGCCGTTCTTAAAGACGTAGAGTCTGCCTAACTTCACATGGAGTGGTTGCGTACGATTGTCAACGATATTGCTAAAAACATCGAGCTCATCAACGAGCACCAGACCGTGGAAACGGAGAAAGCCAAGTCTGATAAAGAAATTAAATCATTAAAGAAAGAGCTTGAATCAAAAACCGAAATTCTTGTTCAGAAAGAACAAGAGGTGGCGAATATTAAAACGAAAATCGACAGAATAATTAGAGAGCGACTCGGCGAGCTCGAGGTGAAGTCATCTGATTTGGAGAAGAACATGTTAAGTATCAAATCAAAGGTTGATAATTTGGATAGAAGATCATTGCTAGATGAACTACTTTGATTTTAATAATGTAAACTTTATAGGTAATATATGCACAACAAGTAGGTTTGTAAGGTTAATAATTTGGATAGCAGATCCTTAATAGGCTGTGACATATGAGGTAAACAGAATCTGCTGCAATGTTTTTTTCATCATATTTCACTTAATACTGGTGGTAATTTGTAGGTTGGAAATATGGGCGGTCGAGAATTTGCAAATTTTTTTTTAAAAAAATATTTGCAACTTGCGACGGTTCAAACCGCCACAATATACCGTAGTTTTTTTAAAAAAATATTTGCAAATTGCAGCGGTTCAAACCGCCACAATATAACATAGTTTTTTTAAAAACAAAATATTTGCAACTTGCGGCGGTTCAAACCTCCACAATATACTTTCGCAGTAAAACAAAAATCATTAAGCAAATTAAGACGGTTGAAAACCGTCACAATATGGAGATTACGACAGTTAGCTACCCGTCGAGAAAATAACGACGGTTTGTACGACCGTTTTCACAACCGTCGTAATACGACCTCGCGACGCACGTTTCTGTGACGGTGTTGAAACCGTCGTAATTTAAAAATTGTGACGGTTAAAACCGTCGTAATCTGTCAAAATGAACCGTCGCAATTTGCAAATTTTCTTGTAGTGAAACCACTAGGTCTTTCACCCTTAACAAACAACAATAGCACATAAAACAAGAGGTTCCTGTAGAGTACTACAGAAACTTAGGATGCTAGCACCTTCCCTAAGTTTAACCAACCCCGAACCTAAACTCTCTAGCTTTTGCATTTGCATTGCATTTTGGGTAATTCAATCTTTTTCCCTTCCTTTGGACAAATAAAAGACCGGTGGTGAATCAATGAATTAAGATTCAAATTAATTAATAAATTGACATCCAATTCTCACCGTGACAACCATGATGCATAAGCATACCTTATTTCTCATGTTTATTTGCTTGCACTAAATATCTCGAGTACTAAATTTAGAGTGTCAAAATATGCGTCATACGAGTTAAACTCAATTAGTCTATTATAGGTTTCATCTAAGAGAATCAAAAATATGAATTTAGGAATTTTTTGAAGTTTCAGGTCTTTGAGTCGACCTAAACTCTGCTCCGATCGACTCATAGCAAGTGTCCTAGAAATGCATTTTTCTCGGGTTAGGTATGGTCGACCTACCGGTCGACGCATACTGTTGTCATTTGAATTTGTCTAAAAATTCAGGTTTGCGTCGACGCATGCCTTGTTCTGGTCAACGCATAACTGTGTATTTTGCACAATACGTTGCCTCGGGTTAGCTCAGGTCGACCCTGCACTCTGCATGGGTCGACCGCTGCCTCGGGTTAGCTCAGGTCGACCCTGCACTCTGCATGGGTCGACCGCTCGCTGTTTGCTGCATATTTTCTGATTTGTCTATTATTTTTTTAAGTTGGTTTTATCAGTTATAACAGTTTTGTTTGGTATAAGTATTCAGTTTCTCTATTCATTTCATATCAATTGAATCAATTACAAAAATAATAAAAGTGAAAGAGGTGTCAATTCAGTTTCTCATCATCTTTATCTTCTACATTTCATACCACAACAATCACACACAATAATCTTTGTTGTGCATTATGGATTGACTAAGGTGATAACGTTCAAAGCCGTGATTGGGTAATCTGGTTCGGGTTGAGGAATTGACAGGTTTTTCTTGAATAAAACCTCTAGGGTGTTATCCTCCAAGATTATCTGAATTTGGGGGTTTTTGGACGAGTCTTCTCAACACATATTCAACTGAGTGAAGGTGATCGAGGAGCGGTGGGTTCCGCCGATCTAGTAGCGGTAATCGGAGAATTGTGAAGGAGAGGTTTGGGTTCGACACGCGAGTGTTTGAGATCAGTCAGGCTGGGGTTTGAAGATGGAAGGTTGTTCAAACATAGAGCTATAACCGAAGGTTCATTCACAAGTTGTCGAAGAACTTGATTCGACTCGAATCAAGGGGTAAGAGGAGATAGCATCTACAACAACAAGGGAGTTCGCTTATTTGATTGCTATTTCATTCTTGTATATACGATTCTACAACAGGTTAAATTTATATTATAAAAGCTCAATTCTATTGTTAGAATTAAGGGCAGACGTACCCTGAAGTGAGGATGACGGGGGAATTGCCTCAACAAATCCTTGTGCCTTTTACCTTTCATTTTTACATTGCTTAATATTTGTGTGGTTTTAGTACAAGCAATTATATCAAATTTAGGACTGTTTTGAGTAAGTGTTGGACTGATTTTGACTCTAGTACAGCCGTTGATTGTACAAGGAAACTAGAGCAAATTACTCAAAGCTGAACTCACTTGTAGTGCTCTGCACTCCAAGTGTTTGATAAATTGCCTGAACAAAAAGCCTTGTGTGTTGTTCATTTATTGTGGTAATATTTTAAGGCATTGGAACTAGTCATACCACATTGTGAGCTAAATCAAATTGAGAGTGTGAATAGCGTAGTGATTCTCATTGCTCATTATCCGATTCCATCGGCTAAAACGCATATCCGATTTTCTAGTAATCGTTCGTTATAGACGTTATTTTTCCACGGCGCTTCCGCAAATTAAACAAATTTTTTAAAACCATTATATTGGTAGCGCCGATTTTTTTTTATCAAGGGATCTATTCAACCCCACTTCTAGATTCATGTCATCATCTAATACCATTCACCTGAAATCTATAAGATACAGTTTTAATAATTAGCATGATCTAGCTAATAAACTGGTGAGGGAAACTAAGCTCCTTAAGAATTGTCTCCAGAGCCTTTCATTCAATTGTGTCATAGGCTTTTATCAATTCATAAGCCAAGAGGATATGATCATGAATGTTCTGTCCAGGAAGAAAGGCAACTTGGCTATTATGAATGATACTACAAAGAACCTTACCAACCCTAGCTGCCATAATTCTAGAGATAATTTTGTAAAGGACTGTACATCAAGAAATAGGCCTGAAGTCTTTGACCATATTAGCTATGGAAGTCTTAGGGATGAGAGTGACTAAGGTACAATTAATGCCTCTATAGACTTTATTCCTCTAAAAGAAACTCCTTAGTTGCACTGATGGTGTCATGTTTGATGATGTCCCATGTGGATTTAAATAACATAGTATTGTATCCATCTATATTAGGGGAAGATAAGTCCTTAATACCCTTCAGACTATTAAAAATATCTTCCTCAATGACTGGAGCAATCAAGGAATTCCTCTGATCAACAGATAGTTAATGACCTTTTCTCGTATCAACAATATCAATGCTAGTCAAATTCCTGTTAGCAATACCCACAAGATTCTGGTAGTACTTGATAACTTACTGCTCAATCTCTTCCTGTTGGTAAAGAATGTTACCCGCTTCATTTTTCATATTGGCAATTTGAGCTTGTCTTCTTCTAGACTTCAAAGAAGGATGAAAGTATGCATTATTGCCATCCCCAAGTCTAAGCCACTCCACTTTATATTTCTGCTTCAACAGTTACTCCTCAACATTGCTCAAATTAAAAACCTATGTGGGGCAGACTTTAACTCTTTCATTAAGTTAAATGTTCTTTCTATCTTGAAGGAGCTTGATCTGATAAGATGACAAGTCTTCTCTAGATTTCTCTAGTTGTTGGGTTATGCCTCTATAGGAAATACTTATTGATGTACATAAAAGCCTTTGGAGCCTTTTGAGTTTCTTCCATATGATGTACATAAAAGATACCTCTAAAGGTCTGGCCCAGTTCTGCTTCACAGCATCAGGGAAGTCCACTTTGTTAACCACCACATTTTGGAATTTGAAGGGAGGTCTACTAAGGGCTTTAATATTTTGCTCTTCCAAGCAGAGGAATGCATGATCAAAGATCCCATGATTCATAATATGGAGCACGGTATCCATATTTTATCGCTTCCAGTCTAGGTTGCCTAAGACCCTATCAATCCTCGAATATATCATCCCATTAGTTTGGTTGTTGGTCCAAGTGAAATGGTCTCCAATATTATCTATCTCATGGAGGCCAGTTTTTTCCACCATGTCCACAAGTTCTTTGTACTCATTCTCATTGACCAGGTTACCACCAGTTCTCTTGATCCTTCAGAACATTATTGAAATTACTCATGAGACACCAAGGGCCTGTGATACCCGAGTGAATGTTTTCTATATCCTTCCATAACTTCTTTCTTTGGTCTAGGGTTTTGAGGCAATATATTGTTGTTAGCCATGTTTTCAGCTCAACATTTGGGTGGTGGATGCTATAGTGGATGTACTGAGAGGAGCTATCATGGTTAGCCACCTTGACTTTATTATCATCCCATAAGACCCATATTCTACCATTATTGTATTTAGAGTAATTATCAGTGACATTCCAATTCCTACTATGTCTATTCCTAACCTTCATAGCATTATGAGGTTTGACTCTAGTTTCAATAAGAATAGCTAACTCAGGTTTCATTCTATTGAGGCAGGAGTTAACCTCATGACACTTACCTGAATTATTTACCCTTGTCACATTCCATAATACAATAATGTAAATACATCATGTGAGCCTCTAGGATCTCCAGTCATGAGGGCTTCAAAACCATTTTGACAAGCTATGTCTTCATTCGAGCTAGAAATAAGAATCCCCTTGCCTTTGTTTTTTCCATTACTTTTTAAATTCTCCCAACCAGATGTCCATGGTTCCTCGTTGCTTTCTTTAGTCTCTATTGGTTTGATCTAGATACTTTGAGGAGGTTTTTCCTTCCATTACTTCTTATTCTTAGGTTTGCATTGATGTCCCACCTTTTGACAGCTTTCACAAAAGCTTGGCTTTCATTCATATTCCACAGGCTGAATTCTCTTATTTCCTGCATTATCTTTGACGATGATGCTTTCTTTCTGTTTCTGTGTGACATCAATCTCTACCAGAATCCTAGCATATGATACTCTCAATTTATTCGCAGTGCACTCATCAGTAAATAAGGGGCTGCCTAAGGCACTACCTATCTTCCCTAAACTTCTAGCTCCCCACAAATGTAAAGGTAGGTGTAGAAGTT